AGTGTTAGAAAAAAGTTTTATTCGCATTAAAAATACCCGAAACAACCCCCGAAAAAATCGTGACAACCCCCCCAATGTTTACTGACTCGGGCCAGCCCTGAAGTCATGAGAGTTCGAATATTTTGATTTTAACTTTTTACGAACTCATGGCCATTTTTTGTTACGTTTTCAATGAAATAGTAATAGATTTTAATTTTAATTTTGTTACGCATAATATTGATTTTAACTTTGATTGAAATCCATGGAAATGAATTATACACTGATTATAATTAACTAAAAACATGATTTTAACTAAATCTTCATTTTGAGGTATGATACATTGTTTGATAAACTCACAATAGAGCCATTTCAAGAGATAAAAAGCTTCAAAGATCACATATTCTTTATTAGATTTGATCTAGTGAGACTAGGCAAAATCTAAAATAAATTATTGCACTGGATCTTCTTCTAAGAGTTACTTTCATTTGACTAAATTTTTCGTCTGTATCAAGGTATGTCATACAGGATTGACTCTTTGAATTTCAATCTAATATTTTCCCACAGGAAGTGCCAGTATTACTAAGCTTTGCTGAAAGTCTAGATCAAAAAGGATATTTCAATCTCGATATATAATCTCCCTCATAAATCACATTTCCTTAGTGAAAGCTCGGAATCTGTAGCTTCTTTTAAGATTTGTATATCTCAAGAGAGAAACATTCATTTCGGTTTAACCTTTCAATACACTGAGACATTTTTTTTTGAGCAAATATCAGAATAAAATTACAACATTCCACTTTTTATTCTATACTTTAGTATAGATTAGGAATTTAGTAAACTGGATATGAATTCGAAGGTTGTCAGTCAATTGTTCCCATTGTTGTTGTTTTTCTTCTAGTTTTGTTTCCAAGGTATTCAGACGTCTATTACTGCTAATATTAGCTTCAGATAATTTTTGAACTGTTTGTTCGAATGTGACTTTTTCAGATGCCATGATTGTTGTGTTTTTTTTGTTCGACCAAAAGAGTGAGGTTCAGTTTGTCAGGATCGCCATGTAACGAGGAAAGATTATCGTGCCGTGTAGTCATCTGATTTTATTTCGATATATCCATTTCTTTTATAGTTCCCTTCCCTTCCGAGCAAGTCACTCAACCGTGACGGAACGAAGAGAAACAGAAGGGAGAACACAAGAGAGAGAGAGAGATGTACACGCAGAGATAATCATCAGTGTACATAAGAGAAAGAAGATAGTCAATGATA